ATTATTAATTATGAGATTATTAAGTTGTGGCACTGATTATTCAGTGCCACAACTGAATTAAAAAATCAAGTTTTCCCTGTGTGTGCTGTAAAATTGCAGTGTAAAAATGATCCTGTTAAATGTATGGTTTTAAAAAAAACTGGCAGATGTACATGCTTTTAAACTAAAATTTGCTTTATGCCATAAAATGTACTGATAACCACCATAATAATGCAGATGGCAAACATGTAGTGGCCTGTCCGTAACACATGATCAGTACTCATGTATAAACATACACAGCGATATACACACAAAGACAAAATATCACCTGGGCAATGCACATGAAACTAAAATAATGCAATAAACATTAACTAAATAACAAATCAGAAGTAAAGAATTAAAAATAAAGAAATTTTAGACAAAACACCCTAATGTACATTTTTATTCAGAAATAAGATAAAACAATGTAAAAAAAAAAACATATGTAATGTTTCACACAGGGCCTTTTGGTAATATCCTTTTACTGTTTTTCAGTAAAGTTATAAAGTAATCTATAGTTTTTACTTGCAAAAAATAAATAAATAATAAAAAAATTTAATAGTATTTTACAGTAAAATTTGTAGAAAATGTAATGTAAAACCATTTACAATTTTGTTACCAGTAAGTTACAAATATATATTAAAAGGCAACTTACTGGTAACTAAAAAATAAATTTGTACAGTATATATTTTTTCTATGACAGATTTATCAAAGAGAGCTGGATTTAAATGGTGCTTTTTCATAAAGGAGAGCTCATTGGAGATGTCCGAAAGTGAGAAAGACACACACATACATATATACCAAGCAGGACATTCATGGAGTCAAAAGATTGATTGTTTTACACTCGCCTCAGTAGAGTTGTGTAGGAGGCAAACAGTGCCTAGTTAGGTTAGTTTCTGTTCCTGCACTTAACGGCTAGTTTCATCTTGCTTAAAACCGATATAGTAGTCAATACAACAGTCTTCCACCGAATTTTCCATGTGTATCTGAAGCTTCATTTCTTTTGCATATGATTCACAGAGCATATAGGGAAGAGGATTCCCCTTTAATTTTTCAGCTAGCACTCCAGTGTGCTTTTTATAGAATACCTGCCCCACCCAATATGCAAACCAGATAAACCAGTAAATAAACCACTGGAATAATCTTCTTCAGTGCAGTAGACTCTGAACAGTGAGTTCATTCCCTGAAGGATCCATCAGAATGATTCAACTCAGTAAACTTTTTGAATGACTTATTAAAAGAACCGGCTCATAGTCATTTGCTCAGGAATCGGACCGCACAGGCCATGCTTTGTCTCTCATGTGTAACCTGTGAAGACAACTCCATAAAAAGATGGTTCCTTGCCATAAAAATGTTTTATCTCATCACATTTAATTCAGCCTGCAAGCTCACAACTGTAATAAAATGTACACATTACTGTTTTGACAAAGTTTTTTGTCAAAAGTTTTTAATTTTTATAGAACTTTTTTTTTTTTGGTATGTGCATTCTGGGTGTTCTCATGGTGCTGACATTCCTTTCTCATGGGTGAAAAGAAAAATATATTTAAAGGCAGCCAAACAAGTCAACAGTGTCTGCTTGACAGCACTCGTCCAACTCTGTCAGACTGATGGAGGGGGCAAAATTCTGTGCACCCCTGTTGGCCATTGTTTTCCATCCTATCATTTGCTGCCCTCTTAAATATTTTCATGACCTTTCCCAGCGCTGTGACCTATAAATAAGTGTTTTTTTTCTGTAGCTCTCCATAATGGGGAGGAATGGGCAAGCTGATATCAATTGTTGTCGTATCTCTTATCATGCTTGCTCAGAGAATATTTTCCTCCTCATGGCATGCAGACTTATCACAAAACAGATGTCATGGTGTGAAAAACCCATCAAACCTCGCCCTCTCATTAAAAACAAGCAAGCATGTTGGTAACCTGTATCATCTGTATCTACAAACGCACATACAAAACCCCAAAAATACACAAGCAGCTTTGTATGTAAACAGGCCAGACAAGATTCCAAAAATAAACCTTCTCTTCAATGAACAATTGACTCTTGCTTTTTATAGGACAGAGTTCAGATATTCGTCTCATTCTGCATCCTTGTTTTGATTATTTGTGACACATTTGGCATAGTTTGAATGGAAAATATGTTTGCATGAATAAAAGCGCAACCAAATACCTCTCTTTTCATGCAATAATCAACACATGCCTGTTACTATGAAAACAAGACAATGCACTCAAAACCCAGTGGACAACAAGCACTTTGCTCTTTTTTTGTGATAAGTCACCAAAAGTTTAAAGGGATAGTTCAACCAAAAATGAAAATTCTGTCAGTTACACTCTAAAAATGCTGGGTTAAAAACTACCCTTTCTGGGTTATTTGGCAACCCAGCGCTGGGTAAATATTTTACAGAACACATGCTGGGTTATTTTGACCCAGCTTATTGGGTTTTATACATTAACCCATTTGCTGGGTTGTTTTTGAGTTTCACAATTTGAGTTGAATTACTGAAATAAATGAACTTTTCCACGACATTCTAATTTATTGATGCACCTGTATGTATATATATATATATATATATATATATATATATTAGGACAAGAACAGTTCATATGCAATATTTTTTTATTCAATGGCAAGTCAGTCTTTTACAATCATAAAATAATCAAAAACATTCAGTAAACTTTTTAGGACGTGACAGGAGCAGCAAGAGCAGCCAATGGGAATCTGTGGGAAGAAAACTGCTATCAGTAAGCTGTTCCAGCTCAAATAACCCAATAAAATGACCCAACAGGCTGGATTCTGGGTAAAAAAAAAGAAAGAAAGAAAAATAAGCCAGCATTTTTTAGAGTGCAGAAAAACTACCCAACACCTGGGTAAAAATATAAAAAAATAACCCAATAAAATTACCCAGCAGGCTGAATGCTGGGTAAAAAATAAAAATAAGCATTTTTTTAGAGTGCAGAAAAACTACCAAACACATGGGTAAAAATATTTAAAAAAAACAACCCAACAAAATGACCTAGTAGGCTGAACCCAGCATTTTGGTTAAGAATGTTTATTTTGGGTTAAGAATGGTTATTTACCCAGCAAGTGTACTCACCCTCACGTTGTTCCAAATCTGTAATTCATCTTTGAAACATAAATGAAGAAATGTTTAATGAAACTTGGGAGATTTCTGTCCCTCCATTGAAAGTCCGTTCCATCAAAACCACTTCAAAAATTAATAAGGAGATGTTCAATCAACAAATTGAAGACACAATCGCTTTATTTCATGGGCCAAAACAGTCTTGTCTATTATCAATAGTTTGCCGCTTTATGAAGCACCTCACACTGAAGTCACTTTCAAATCAAGCAACTTTCTGTTGGTCAGTGTGAATCCATATTGCAATATCTGTGTGGAGAAATCATTTTCTCTCACACGCAATTTGCGATTGCATGGATTTCTATTGAAATTACTGGATTTCACCCATTAAAATTAGCCAAACAACAGCAAATGTAACCATACCTTAATACTATAAATGGGCCATAACCATACCTACACAAGTAACTTTCTAAAAATATTAATAGCCTGCAGGTGTGAAAAGAATTTGATTTGCAATTTCTATGAAAGTACTAAATTACAAAAGTTAGATTACGTGTTAAGGTGTGGTCACATTTACCATTGTTTGGTGAATTGTGAAAATTTCACAGGCAAAAAACAGAAGTCACTTTCAAGCCAAGCAGCTTTCCGTTGGTTAACTGAGCGAATCCACGTAACCACCTTGAACCAGTTGCGAAATCTGTGTGGAGAGAGCTTTCGTTCTCACACAAAATTCCAGATCATGTGGATTTGTTTTGAAATGACCGGATTTAGAAAATTCACCAAACATCGGCCCTTGCTTTGCCAACTTTTACAATCTCTTTATGAACTTTTTGAATTGTCAAAGTGTTGATGGAATTAACTTCAGTGACAGGACAGAAATCTCTCAAGTCATCTCATTAGAAATATCTTTAATTCTGTTTCAAAGATAAACGAAAGTCTTACAGGTTTGGAACGACATGAGGATGAGTAGTTGATGACAGAATTGTAATTTTTTTGGGTGAACTATCACTTTAAGGTTTTGTCACATCACTTGGGTTTTGAGAATCGAGCTACATTAAGCTAGTGGTGTGTGACTGAGGGGGGACGGAGGAAGGGTGGGGTTCCCAGACAGCAGTGAGCTAATGTGCAGTAATGCTTGGTTACAGATGTAAACACATGCCTATACTTTAATCATTACAGAGATTCGACCTACAACCACACAGAATGACAATCCAGCACACTTTTGGTGCTTTTGTGATGTCTCAAAGACCTTCAAATTGTGACGTAAGGTAAAAAAAACATTTGCGCTGGTTCATGTAAAGTTCAAGAATAATAAATGGCTTCGTAATGTGATATGTCGCACAATGTTTGTGTTGATAAATGTCAGAAGTTGCTTATTTCTAATGAGATGGTGCCACATCGCCTGGGGCAAAGGTTTTCTGACTGTGTGAGTGCGTGCGCACGCTGTGCATTTGACTCAGTTCTTTTGCAACACATTGTCGGAAGACTTCAGGTAGAGGCCTGTAACTGTACAGTGTCTCGCCGCTAACCAGGTGTCAGCCTGATTACACATCCTGGCACGCGTTGCGTAATGTTCCATTTACACTTTCTCTAGCATGCAGCACCTTTGATGTAACAGTCTTCCTGAAATTTCCTGACTAAAAAAGGAAAGGTTTTTCGTATTTAGACACAATCAGAAACCTTTAACCTTATTCAACCTGAGCAATCAAAGTTTAATTCACGTTAAGACCGTCTTTGAATACGATCCAAAAAAAAAGTTAATCTTATCTTATCACAAAGAATTTTAACAGCTCTGTCACGCAGTTTGGGGAGTAAAAGGGTGTGTTCAGAAAGAAAAAGCCTTCTGATGTGACCGAACTTGAAGTTATAATAACCAACTTGTTTTTGTCTTTTCCCTTTGTTTTTCCGCAGCAAAAGAAGACTTACCTGGAGCGCAGCGTTAAAGATGCGGAGGACAACATAAGAGAGATGCTGATGTCCAGGAGAGCCCAGTAAAACACGCTCACACCCATCCACACACACACACACACACAAAAAACCCTTCTTCATCACCTTTGTACACCGTGCCCTTGGCTTGAACATGCTTCTGCATGTATTCAAGAATACTTGTGACAGACGAGCCAACGGGAGTCATCTGTCAGCTGAACACAGGAAGTTTATTTAGGTTAATAGTTCAAAATGAATGTACTGTTGACCGTCTGTCTAATACTGACTCGTGTGACCTCTGACACCTGAGTATTCTGTAAGACTTTTTAAGTTATTGATTGTTTTCTTCAGCTGTTCTTTTTTCTATGGTTTTGTGATAATACAAAACATTTTTTATGTAAGCAGGTGTTAACATGGTAATAAAGGTGGCTGTTGAAAGACAAATCTGTGTGCGTGTGTGCCATAGAGTCCGCAGACAGTAATTTAGATATGATCTGAATGATGTGGTACTTCATTGCTGTGTTTGTGTTTGTGCCTCTACGTCACTGGTTTCCTGTCAGTCCTTCTGGACATCCTCTTTCCCCCTTCGTCTCGTCTCTGTCTCCTTTCTTGTGTTCTTCTGATCCTATGCTGGACTCTGAGAGAAATTTGCCACATAAGCCTGTGGAAACTTGTCTTTCAGGCTACAACCTTGAAAAGAGAATTACCCCAGACTTCTGCTTAGATCTTCTCCAGACAGCCGTTCCTGTGTCGTTCCTGTGTGCCGGCCTGCATCTCATTCATTCGTGATGCAGATGTGTGTCTGCTTGATATCCTACTTCCTCAGAACAGGATGAATTGCATAAATAAAGGAATAGAGAATCTTTCTAAATGTGAAGTTTTGTAATTGATGAGGTCATTGTTATGCCACCCAATGAGGTTTTAGTTTTGGATTAAATAATGTTTACATTGCACTATTGACTACTTCATTCTAATCGGTCAGGTGCAGCATTTTACTGTAAAATATGTACATATATTAAGTGCGTTTATATGCACTTTAAAAGTTAATTTTCAGTCAAACTAAAGCAAAAGTTTGTCTTTTTATCAGTGCTATTTTAGTATTATTTATATGCAATTGTAATGTTTATTAATACTTTGAATTAGCTTTTATTTTTAGATTTTCAGATTTGTTTAGTAATTTTATGTATTTTTGTCATTTTATGTATCTTTTGTGTATATATAGCTTTAATTCTTTTTTCAGGTTTAGTAATTTTACAACTTCAACTTCAAAATTATTTAAATAAGTTGCCACGGAAATATTTTTCATTTTCGTTTAAGTTTAGGGTTTTTACATCTAATAGCCTATTTACAGTTTATTTTCTTTCAACTTCATTTCAATCACTGAAAACGATTTTTAATAGTTGTAGTTTTCGTTAACAATATCAACATTGTTTAAAATGTCATGTAAACTTTTCAGTTCGACTGAAATCAAACCAGTCATTTTGTGTAGGCTCTGAAAGACTGCAATGTGTATTTAATATTTTATATTTTTACACAAAACACATTGTAGCTTGATTGTAACTGTGGTACTTATAATTATTTCTAATAATCACACTAATTGCCGCCCAATGATTTTTTTGGTTTTGCCTCAATACTGTAATTTATTATTACATAGTTCTTTGGAGTAAAACCGTGTTTAATGTCCATTTGTAGATTTATTAGGCAAGTATCTGTGTTATAATTGGGATAATGTACACTTGATAGTTATTGCAAAGATCCTGATCACCCTGTCTGGGTTTATTGGCAAAGTATTAGAGGAAGATCAAAAATATCACTCTGATCCGCAGGTCCACGCAGACGAAGAGTCTTTAATTCAGTAGTTGGTCTGTAGCTCCCTCTACTGGCCGCAGAAGTGAACACGAGCAACTCCACATATCTGTCACATCTAGGTGTGAAATCACGTGTTCATTACTGCAAAGTGGGTGCGTCCAAGAGTACAGTGGAAAGTTTGCAGTTTCCACTGTGAGCTCCATCTACTAGACACACCGGGGACTGCAGGAGGGGTTATCTTGCCTAATTTTGATGCTCTTTAGCAGCAATAATATTGCGGTTCCCAGTTTTTCGCAGTAGACCACACACTTCTTAAGAAGAAGATGAATAGCCTTTAAGGCTTTTAGATAACCATTTAAAAGTCTTTGCCCTGAAGAATAACCCCACATGTTCTGTTTTTTAAGGGCTCTGTGGTTCACATCCTAAAGAGATGTCCCATTGCTTCATGAGCACAGCTCCTGTTGTGTTCACACTGTCTGCCTTTTGATGAGCTCAGGCAGCGGGAGTAAAGTCCAGAACCAAGGGCAGATTTTTAATCTGGTCCCTTTCTGTCTCTCGCTCTCCCATAAAACCAGCGCTCTGCGTCCAGCCGGGTCCCAGGTCTCACATGGCCTCTGAGAGGCAGCAGCACAGAGCCCCGCACATCCTTCAAGGGCCAATGAATCAGGTAAAATATCTATAAAGTGTAGAGTATGAAGGTAGAATGACGTCAAAAAGATTTACATACGCAGGGTAATATTTGTGGAAGTGTACATAAGACTGTAAGCGTAAATTAAATGTGCATGCGCAAGAGAAGCTTTGTAAAGGTGTAAATCGTGTTTCAAGCGCAAGAAAAATTTATTTGCAGCATTTTACTGTTACTCGTAAGTGTAATTCATGTGTTGTGAAACTGCAGCATCATGCTAACGCAAAATAAATATGATCTGCATGCTTCTGACTTCCATTTTTCCGCGCTTACACTTTTGGCACGTTTCAGTCTTATGTACACTTCCACAACTCTTACCCTGCGTATGCAAATCTTTTTGACGTCATTCTACCTTCATAGTAGAGTCATTGTTGTGAATGAAAACACTGCAGATGTTTATCTCAAAGAAAGTAAGAACAGCAAGCGTTTGTTGGTTAAATATCACATTGGAACACTGAAGATTTGTAATGACATCTCAAGGAAATCTCAGCTCAGTGTCACTATCTACATGGAGGGAAATGTCTTGATATTCTTTTCTTGAGTGTTTACAAATTTAAATCTGAATTCTGGTCATGCAAAGCAAAACATTTAGGCCTTTGTCATGCACAAATGTTCAAATATAAGGTGCAAAGTATTGTGCCAGATTACTATTTAGAATAACTGTTAGCTCAGTGCACAAAATACACCAAGAAGTGAGTAGTAGGTAAATATATTTGTCTTTACAATCATTAAAAAAATACATGCTTGTTATGTTTTAATTATAATTTTGCTCTTTTGCAATATGAGCCAGTGAATGATACTCATTATTTATTATGCATTGTTATATATTTGTTTACATTTATTCAAAATACTAAATTGGGATACACTGCACTTGGATTTAAAAAAAAAGAAAAGAAGCTTAATTAAGAAAAGCTTTGATACTTTTGGGGAGTTATATGTGATAGAACATATAACAATGAGATATACGAATGTAGGAGACAGACAGTTCTGGTCCATTGATTTGATTTTACAAGTCACATTGTTTTTTTTTCTTTCTTTTTTTTTTTACTGTTTCCATCAATTTTGTGTTCGCTACAATTTTTTCCCCCCAAAATTATTTTCTTCAACCACCTTTGAAGTTAACTTTCTTTTGCAGTTAGATACATTATCTGTAGTTAAATATTAAGTCAATTATTAATGCTAAATGAGAGAGTAACTTGCCAACTTTTGAACTTGGCTTCTCTGAAAACTGAAATGATGTCACTTTTTCTTTATGTAATTAAAAAAAAAATTTAAATTTATTTTGATGGAAATATGTGGTGTGATGGAAGAAATCAAATTCATGGCCAAGATAAATTATCCTAAATTATCCGAGATAAATTATTTTAATAAAAAAAAAATGTTTTATGTAAATGTAATGTATGCATATTTTATTCCAGTAAAGGTTTTGGTATTAACTGCTTTTTAAATGATTTTATTTATTTATTTATTTTATTTTATTTTTTTATTAATGGAATACACACACACGCACACACACATATATATATATATATATATATATATATATATATACACACACACATACACGCACACAAATAAATCCCTTTGGTTATCTTTAATGCTCATTCTCAAGCTTTGTTGTCAGTAAGCATTGATACAGTGTGTGCTATATTTGTTTGGAATAGCATCTGCATAATGTTGTTTGTAATGACATAACCTTATACAGTCTGGCTGCTTAATGATAAATCATGATGTTCATGTTTTTATCCATGTTATCTCTTTTGAAATGGGTTTAACACATTATTGTGCACTTAACTTGTCACGCGTATCAAGGAAATGTCGACCCTGCAAAAAAAAAAAAACGGGCCTGTGCCAAACTATGTCAAGTCGACCCTGTTCTTTTCCTGAGTCACAGCCTAACTTAGCACTTTCAGTCATTCTCAGCATTAGAGCATTTTCACTTTTTCAGAGAGAAAAAGAAAAAATTCAACATGAAAGATTTGAGTTTGTTTTGAGGCAAATTTCATAAGTTAGATGTTTTATTGGACTTCATGAACAGATGTGCACACAAATAATATTGTCATGCATGGATTGTGTGTGTGTGTGTGTGTGTGTGTGTGTGTGTGTGTGTGTGTGTGTGCGTGTGCGTGTATGTGTTTATTCTCCATTATACTCTATCTTTATAATATTGCCCATTAGCTCCCACCTTCTGATAGAGTTGTGCCAGCAGATGGTACAGAGGTACAAGAGATGCCTGCTGACATGGCTAAGACGTCTGATGGGAGTCAGAATCAGCCTGCAGGATTTGATATGATCTACAGGATCGAGGACGTCCCGCCTTGGTATCTGTGTGTGCTGCAGGGACTGCAGGTACACTTACATTCTCATACTCTCCCATAGTCTGACTCACCTAACGTTCCCATCCCTTCTAACCCTTCCTATATCTGTATGTCCTGCCTCTGGATCTCCAGCACTACCTAACATGCTTCAGTGGTACTGCTGTACCATTCCTATTGGCTGAAGACGTGTGTGGGGCAGGACCAGTACACTGTCAGCCAGTTAGTGGGCACCATCTTCACCTGTGTGGGGATCACTACACTCATACAGACTACATTTGGTGTCAGGTGAGTTATTCAATGTGGGCTTTAGTATGGAAATATGTGATTAGTAGTCACAATATAATTTTTTTTCTATGCCATATTTAGGTTGCCTTTGTTCCAGGCGAGTGCTTTTGCCTTTCTCATCCCTGCTCAGGCAATTCTGAGGCTGGACAAATGGAAATGTCCCCCTGAAGGTACAAACAGTGTTACACAATGTTTGAATTTTACAGTGACTATCAGTGGGGGGAGCTTTCTGTATTGCATCTTGCACAAACTCTTTTTTCATTTTATTTTTGTATTTTGTCTGATACTGTTCCTATGGTTAACTCCTCAGAGACTATACTACTGAAACTTCTAAGCTTAATTTTTTT